CCCCCCCAGTTCTGTTTTCCCCCCCAGTTCTGTTTTTCCCCCCAGTTCTGTTTTTCCCCCCAGTTCTGTTTTCCCCATTCCCGGCTGTCACTCACTTGGCCCTGTCCCGGGGCTCGATCAGGTTCCTCCTCTGCAGGCTCTTGAAGCGATCCCTGAGCACGTTCCCCTCGGGCTGCGATGTTGGGGAACGAGCCCCGAATTCCATTTTCAGCGACCCCTCCGTTCCTTCAAACCCCCCCCCTCCCCAAAATCATTTCTCGGGGGGGTTCCGGGCACCCTCAGCTCCCCCCGGGGCCTCGTCCACGCGACAAAACCCCGGGAACCCCAAAATCCTTCACATCCCCCGAGGCCGGGGATCCTCACAGCGCAAGGATGGGTCTCATCACGGGCTGCGCCCCCCGCAACTGCCCCCAGATTTGGGCATTTCCCCCCCAGGAGGGGGCGGCAGGACCCACCCGGAGGCTGCGCAGGGACTCGGGCAGTTCCTCGCTCAGCTGCACCTCAGGGTCGGGCTCCTCGTACCTGCGGGGGCCCAGAAAGGTCCCAAAATCCCACCCCAAAGCAGGGGCGGCGCCCCCACACCCCACACTGGGGGTGACTGCTCAGCCCCAGCCCCAAACGCCCCAAATCCCCTTTGCATTTCCCCCCTCAATCCCATTTGTATCCCTTAAATCCCATTTTTTCCCCGCCCTAAATCATAAATCCCATTTCTTTCCCTCATAAATCCCCTTTACTTCCCCCCTTAAATCCCCTTTTATTTCTCCCCTAAATCCCATTTCTTTCCTTCCTAAATCTCATTTTCCTTCCCTAAATCCCCTTTTATTTCTCTCCTAAATCCCTTTTACTTCCCCCCTTAAATCCCCTTTTATTTCCCCCCCAAAATCTTCCTTCCCTTCCCAATTCCCGTTTTCCCTCCACAATCCCCTTTTGCCTTAAATCCCTTTTTTCTCCCCTAAATCCAAATTCTTCCCTCCCCAAACCCTTTTTTCCCCTCCTGAAATCCACATTTTCTCTGCCTAAACCCCAAGTCTTCCCTTCCCATTCCCCCTTCCCATTTTCCCATTTCCCNCCCAAACCCTTTTTTCCCCTCCTGAAATCCACATTTTCTCTGCCTAAACCCCAAGTCTTCCCTTCCCATTCCCCCTTCCCATTTTCCCATTTCCCCATTTGTTCCCTCACCGTTTCCTCCCCAGCCGTTTCGGGGCCGTTTCCTGCCGTTCCCCATTTCCCCATTTCCCCATTCCCATTCCCCCATTCCCATTTCCCCATTCCCCATTTGTTCCCTCACCGTTTCCTCCCCAGCCGTTTCGGGGCCGTTTCCTGCCGTTCCCCATTCCCATTTCCTCACCGTTTCCTCCCCAGCCGTTTCGGGGCCGTTTCCCCATTCCCATTTCCCATTTTCCCATTCCCATTTTCCCATTTCCCCATTTGTTCCCTCACCGTTTCCTCCCCAGCCGTCTCGGGGCCGTTTCCTGCCGTTCCCGCCGCTGTTCCCGCAGCCGCCGCCGCCGCCGCAGCTCCCGGTCCCTGAGGAGCAGAGCCCGGCGCAGGGAGCGCAGCTGGAACAGCCCCTGGGCCTGCACGAGAGCCCGGCGGGCCCGGGCCCTGGCAGCGGCCTGGGGGCACCAGAGACCCATCAGAGACCCCAGGGATCCATCAGAGACCCCAGAGATCCATCAGAGACCCCAGGGACCCGTCAGAGACCCCAGAGACCCATCCCTGACCCCAGAGACCCATCAGAGACCCCAGAGACCCGTCAGAGACCCCCCGGATCCATCAGAGACCCCAGAGACCCATCAGAGACCCCAGAGACCCGTCAGAGACCCCAGGGACCCGTCAAAGACCCCCCGGATCCATCAGAGACCCCCCGGATCCATCAGAGACCCCAGGGACCCATCAGAGACCCCAGAGACCCGTCAGAGACCCCAGAGACCCGTCAGAGACCCCCCGGATCCATCCCTGACCCCAGAGACCCATCAGAGACCCCAGGGATCCATCAGAGACCCCAGGGATCCTTCAGAGACCCCAGAGACCCATCCCTGACCCCACGGATCCATCAGAGACCCCCCGGATCCATCAGAGACCCCACGGATCCCTGATCCCAATCCTGCTCCAATCCCAAAACCCTCAGTCCCACCCCATTCCCATTCCCTGCTCCATGACCCCAACCCTGATCCCAAACCCATTCCCATTCCCCATTCCCATTCCCATCCCTTCACCTTCTCCCTCTGTTCCTTTTCTTTCCGTCTCTGTTTCTCAGTTTTCCTGCCCGGCTGTTCCCGTTTCCGGGGCGAATTTTCCTTTTCCTTCTCCTTTTCCTTCTGCTCTTCCTCCTCCTCCTCCTCTTCCTCCTCCAGGAGCCCCTGCAGCTGCTCCTGCAGCACGGCCTCCTGTGGGACCCCCAATCCCAGAGCTCAGACCCCCAACTCCAGGACTCCAATCCGGAGTTTTGGGGCTCCAATCCCAAATTCCGAGGCTCAGACCCCAAATTCCAGACCTCACACCCCAATTTCGAGGCTCCCATCCCCAATTTCGAGTCTTCCCTCCCCAATTTCGAGGCTCCAATCCCCAATTTCGGGGCTCCCATCCCCAATTTCGGGGCTCCCATCCCCAATTTCGGGGCCCACCTCCGAGGGCGGCTCCTCGGTGACCTTCAGCCTCCTCTCCACCTTCTCCTCCTCCCTCCTCCTCCTCGTCTCCACCTCCAGAGCCTTCAGAAGCAAATCCTGGGAAAAAGGAGAGGCAGGGTCACCCCAAAACCTTCCTGGGACCCCTCAAAAACTCCCCCAAACCCCCTGGGACACCC